TCTGGAGAAAAGTCAATGCACATTTGGGCAGAAAAATAAAACATCAAGAACAACAAGGAAGGTGCTAGTAAAATGTATCACTATATCTAATTTTTCCCGGGACTGCTTCTCTCCTATTTCTGTCCCAGCATAGATTTTCCCAACTTTGGGACTCAACTAGTTGATTCAGATTGCCTTGTTGTGAACCTCTGCTGTGAATGCCTGCTGTCTGCCCACTACCCTGCCTCTCAGATTATAGACTGTTCCTGACGCCCATTCATGCTTAGCAGAACTGCAGGCCTGGCAGCACCTGGCGTGCCTCTCTCTAGCCTGTCCTGCTGGAGAACGAGTCTCATCATCGCTGATTTGAGAACCCAGTCACGGTGCTCCTTGTGGGTGCTTCTGACAGCTCATGGAAGATATGTGGGTGCCGTCTGACCTCTAACTACAATAGAAAGTACACTTTAATAGAGCCATAATAGAATTGTATGTAAATTAATACAGAAACTAGCAGAAGGTATAATTCATGTTGACTTGGAAGTAAGGGTATCATTGGAGAAGTCTCACAGAAGAAGTATCTAAACAGGACCTTTTAAGCTATTGCCTGTTGATAGATTTCAACAGAAGAAAAGGAAAATCAGCCTTCCTGGCAGAGGGAATGGCATAGCAAAGCTATGGAGGTATACTAATTATACAATGGATTATGCCCCCACAATCACAAAATTAAAAATTACTTAGTTTAGGATTAGTAAGCATGCAGTACATAGATGTTTACTAGATGACAATCAGATAGCTTGAGAAGGATGTTGATGTTAGCTTAGCAACCCTAGATTTCTCAGTCTCAGGGAGATAAATTTGCCAATGGATTCATAAACTAAAGAGTTTGGATTATTTTATGTGTTAACTTTGCTAGATCATGGTACCCAGACATTTGGTCAAACACCAGCCTTGATGTCACCGTGGAGGTATTTTTTAGATGAAAATAAATCTGTAAACTTTGGGTAAAGCAGATTACCTTCCATGATGTGGATGAACCTCATCCAATCAGTTGAAGGACTAAAGAGAAAAAGCTGAGGTCTTCCAAAGAAACAGAATTCTGCTTCCAGACTGCTTTCCGGCTTGAGCTGCATCCTTCTTCCCTGGTCTCCAGCCTGCCAGCCTGCCCTGCAGATTTCAGACTTGCCAGATTTGGGACTTGTGCATGTGTGTTTACCCATCTTATTGGTTCTTTTTCTCTGGAAAACCCTAACTAATACAAATACCAAGAGTTTTGACTTAAGAGCTTGGCTTTTTGGAAGACTGATGTTAGCAACGTGAGATAAGCTGGACTGAAGGTGGGAAGCCAAGTGGAAGCCTGTTACATTCATTTTTGTAAGCTCCAGCAGGAACCTTAAGAACCCAAGCAAGGTGGTGGCAGCAGGTACAGAGAAGAAGTAACAGATGGAAGAATTGCTAAGGAAGAAATTACTGTGCAGCACAGTAACCATTCTGCATATCATTAAATATGTGTCAGGTTAATTTTGTAACTTCATTTGGTTTTAATGCTTTCTTCTCTGCAGGTATGCGAAGCCTTCATGATTTATTGGTCATCTGTTCACATATGTTTTAATTAAGAGTTATCATTGCCATGAGAGAGAGACTATGTTCTGTTCTCTACGATTCCACAGCATTCATCAGAATAGGCACTCAGTATTTACAGAGTGGGCCAGGTTCTCTTCACTCTTTGCTCTGTACTCTGCCACCATCTCCGCTTCCCACTGAAAATCTCCCTCTATCTCACCTCCTTAAGGTGGGTCTGGGAGAACATGCCTCACAGGAGGAGCAGGATGGCTGAGCAATCTGTGCTCAGTGAGATGCTGATGTGATTTTTTTTCCAACCCTGCCTCCAACCAAGCTCAAATGAGTCTCTCCTTACGATGTTTCAGTGTTATCTAAGACACATCCAGAAACTTCCCAGTCATGTAAAAGATTGAAAACTGTTCCAGTCCATTTAAGCCTTCAGCTTTATTGCTTTTGCCTTCCACCACCCACCCTCCCCAATCGAGTTTAAGCTTCCCCCACACGACTGGTACCTCTCTCTTTGCTGATTCCAAATTCCTTGGTGCAGTAGCAAGAAGGAGGGATTGGAGAGAAATGGAAACTTGTTTATATTTAGCTGGGTTCGCTTTGCAGAGCTCTAGGGATTATTCCCACTACCTCCCTCCAGCTAGCAGTGACCACCGGCGGCCTCTGTGTGGCAACTGGCTGCTCTCTCAAGAGTGATGTGTGAGTGCTTGGGGTGCCCTGTGGGGACCCACGATACAGTCTCTGGTAGTGGACCTCAGACTCTGCCCCAACTTGATTCATCAAGACTCCCTAAGCTTGCCCCCAGTACCCACTGCTGGGGGGCTGAGCTTTTTGAGTGGCTAACAGCAAGACCTCCCTGCCAGGCTGTTTCAATTTTGGGGGGCTGAGCTTTTTGAGTGGCTAACAGCAAGACCTCCCTGCCAGGCTGTTTCAATTCCACTGAGTCTCTCCTCCTTCCTTCTTTCCTTTTCTCCAGCTGTTTCCTTATGTCAACTGGGACAACTGAGGCTGGGGTGTGAGTTTTCTGAAGCTGGGGAGATTGTTCAGGATAGTAATGCGTGCTCAATTACTTAGTAAATCCTGGAGAATGGCCCTAGCCCCAGTATATTTGTAGCTCTCCATAGAATATGAAGGTACTTAATACCTTTGAGCTTGTGCTTCAGGTCCCTAGTCTCTGATTTAACGCAAATGTAGCATCCAGTTATTTGCAACTGCCACTAAACCTCATTTTTCAAACCCTGACTTGTCATCTGCATTTGTAGCTCCTGTGTAATAAACATTGTGAACAAACATTTAGTGAGTAGCTAAAATGTGTCAGTCAATGTGTAAGTGAAATACACAAGTCTGAGGCAGTTCAGACTCTAATGCAAATAATAAATGTAATTGTAACTTCTAAATAGGGGACAATCAAACCTTAAAATGGAAAATAGATTGAGGAGTGGAGCAGTAAGAAGGAGGAAAGGAGAAAAAGTAACTTAAAAGTGAGAAAGAGTAAATAAAATCCCAGAAGAAGAAAAGAGAAAGAAAGGCAATAGAAATGTTTGAAAATGTAATTGCCTTGACTTTTGATTGATCCTGGCTAGAAGAAAAAAAGAAGCTACAAATGTTTGGGGACACTTGGGGAATTTTAATATGGACTGTAAATTAGTTATAATTTCATCAACATTGGATTTCCTGAGTGTGATGATACTGTGGCTATCAAGGAAAATGTCCTTGTTCTTGGGAGATGCAGGCTGAAGTATCAAGAGGTGAAGTTTATGATGTCTGCAAATGGTTCAGGGTGAAGAAAGTGTCTTTCCAGTGGTTTACCTAAAATAAAAAATGTACGTGTTGTGTGTGTGTGAAGGAGAGGATGGAGAGAGAATGGTAGAAACCAAATGTGGCAACCCGTCAACCTTTGGTGAGTCTAGTGCCAGGGTATTCTGGGAGACGTGGACATATCCCACTGACATCTCCCTTCAAGGAAGGACCCGCCTAGCAGCAGGGGGAGATGTCAGCAGAGCCTCCAGCTGTCAAACTCTCCAGAGGCTCCCTCTGCTGCAGGGAGCAACCTCAATACAGTCATGCTCTTCCCAGGGCAGCTGCCTCCAGTGACTGGGAGGGGAGTACAGAGGCCCCAACATTTCTGCCCAGCACAGGCCACTAATACCGTAACCTGCTCAAGAGCTCCCCACGGGGTTCCCAGAGGCCTGGTCAGGGCCCATCACAGCTCAGCTTCTCTTCTGTCCAGCTCTGCTTCCTCAGCCCTCCTTGCATGGGTGTTGATCACTAATAAACACCTTGCATTAAAAAAAAAATGATGGAGTAAGGAGAATCTCAAAAACAAGAATACTGCCTGTGACAGAAAGCCTAACACATTTAAGATTAAAATCTAATTCCCTGATGCCCAAACTAATCTTTGCTATGCTCACAAATCAGACTCCTATAGATTTCCATGAATATTTATCTCCTTGAATCTCAAGGAGAAGGAAAATCTATGTTGTATTTTGCCCAGTCTTGCTGCTCCCATCATGAATTGCATTGAAGGATCCCATCAGGTTGATGAGGAGCCAGCTGTCCTTAACAACTGTAGTGTGAGATACATGGAATGGCATATGCAAAGCAGCACAAGGCTTAGAAGGGAGGTACTTCAAAAACCAAGAACTGCAAATTCAACTGAAATTTCAAATAAAAGCTAAAGGACTAGAATAACCCATATGAAATTTTAAACCCAGAAGTTTCTCTTGATTAAATTACTCTCCTGCTTCAATTTAAACTCAGAAACATGTTGCTCTCACACTTCTTTGTTCTCCTAAAGTAAAAAAAAAAATCTGTATATAGCTGACAAAAAATAGGAGCCTGTCTGCCAGCGAGTTCTCTATTCATGTCTAATAACATACTGTAGAGTCTACGCAGAACACATGGTCTTTAAACACTCAAAAGCCCCTTCTTTACTGGCTGAACATGGCAGTATGTTTTCTCCAGTATGTTTGCACTACCTACAGTACATGGGTTGCGTAAGCATCAATTCCTTTGGATGCGTAAGTCATGCAGTATTTTCACATGCTTTGATGTTGTGCATATGAGAATTACCATTTATATTTTGGGAATGCGGTTCCTTGTGCCTTCAGCATTGAATTAATATTGCTCAACGAACATCATTTTAAATTCTATCCAAGATAATGCCAATAATGTCTATAACAGAAGTTTGACATAATTAGTTCTCTCAAATATGGAGTTGATTTAGCACCTCAATTGGAATATTCTGGGTGCATTTGTGAAAACTAATTCAGCGTGAAAATTATTCATTAATAAGTTAGATTTGGGCATAAAGTATTTGGGTTTTTCTTATATTCTCAGTGAGAAACATCTGTTGCTTCCTATCAGGTAAATTTCCAAGTGGCAAAATGCATCCTGTTTAGGGGACATAAAGTAAACAATTTAAGTTAATCCTAATGTGATTTTATTAATTACAGATGAGACCCATTGGCCACGATGGCTACCATCCCACCTCTGTTGCTGAGTGGCTGGATTCCATTGAACTCGGTGATTATACCAAGGCCTTTCTAATTAATGGCTACACATCGATGGATCTGTTGAAAAAAATCTGGGAGGTTGAACTTATAAATGTAAGTTGGTCTCTTAAAGACACCTTAGCCATTCAACCCTTGATGAATGAAATTCCTATTATATATTGGTAACTTTTGCTTTCTCCATAACTGGACATCCACAAGAATTTACAGATATGCCTCCTGTTTTAAATATATGGCTCTTAGTTCCATTCAAGCTCCACAATCTTTGTCTTTTGAAGTATTGATGTAGGGAACTAAGAGGATTCTCAGAGTGTTTTGCGTTATCTAAGAAAATCTTCCAGGCATTTTTTGGGCTTTCCATTTTAGGAAATGTTGTTTAGGATATGGATGTGATAACAAGTAGATTCCCATTCTCATCTTTGTTCTTACTCATTGCTAAAGTTTGCAGTTATCATTTTAGTCCTCTGTTTCTGTTTCCTTGTCTCTATTCCTTAACTGCATATATAAACCCCATACTTGAAGAGACTGCTTTTGTTCTTATTAGATAACTGCTGTAATATCATTTTTTTCTTTTCCAGGGCTTATATCTAGTCTTAAGTTGTCTCCGTTTTATTCATAAGCTTGGCATAGATTTTCTATAAAAACTTGTCGACATATGTTGCCATGTATTCAAGCCCAAAGAGATCAACTAAATCTGCATAAATGGTTTTGACATTGATACTTTCCTCATTTCATTTTTAATGCTATTTTATTTCTAATAGCATAAAGGAATGAAAGAGATGAAAAGATAATATACAGTTATCTTGCCTTTATATTATATTTGGCATCATGAATATCTCTTTCCAAAAGTGAATGAGGAATTATTTAATCTTTTAGAGAATTTCTTAAATTTAAGCTTTATATTCTAATAACTATTTTAAAAGCACTCATAAGCTGAAATATAAAACAAGTAAGTTCTGCTGGTTCAAAAGCACTTTGTTCTACTCTTTATGCCACTTTCTTTCCAAATGGAAGTCTCCACATTTTGCATGTCATTAATTATTTTAAATGATAGTTAGTAGTTGTAACTAATTACTCTTTGCTTTTAAAAATCTGTCTTAAAAATTATATCTTTTCTAGAACATCTTATAAAAACTTTTTAAGCTAAAAATCACTTTAAATGGACAAATTCTTGGCTCCTTCTTCTAATTTGCCATCAACCACTCTTAGATTTCTGTCCTTATCCCCTCACAAAAGCCATCATCATTTCAGAAGAAACTCGCCATCTGGCTACAAGCCTCTGATTAATTTTGTCCTTAGGCTGTGTAGCAATGGAATTAACTGCAACTGTATTGCTTTTCAGTTACATGGAGATTTCAGGTCCTCACTGAGAACTGGATGCCCCGCCCATAGCTGCTCTTAGCCCTTTGTTAGAGAGGGAACTTCCATAGATGAAAAAGCACGCTTGCTGTGAAACCGTATTCTAGTCAATGACACAACTTAATATCTTTATATAACATCTTCTGAATAATATCTCCCTACTGAAGAGAAGGTAACAATAGACAGCAATAGCCCATGAGTCACCCACCGAACTGGCATTAGCAGTAATCCCCCATAGAAAAGAATGGATTCTAATAGAACTCTATTATAAAGTGTTTTCTTTGAAGCAAGACTGTGTGTCTCTCTCCAAACCCAAATATTGGGGCTGGCTTTTAAGGTGTGGACTTGGATCCATGCTTCCCCCAGTGGTGTGGACACCAGCAGCCTGGAGACCCCTGTCCAGTCACCGTGGCCAGGCTTTGTGGACAGCTGCAAGGACTTCAGGACTGGGATGCCAGAAGGCCCCAGGTTTAATGCCAAGGCTCCAAGACTGATCCTCTACCATCTACAGAGCCAACCAGGCTTGAGCTGGGACAGAAGGATAGCCTTTTCCACCTGCTCACTCTTGAAGTGTTTTCCCTTTAACTCCGTTTACTCTAATACAATCTGACTTCAGTCTGAAGAGGGCTGCCTGTCACAAGCATTGTTTCAGAGTTGGAAAATAGAGTCCCTGTGTTTTAGACCTTGAGACCAAATTCCTCCAGCTGGAGTACACTGCCTGCATCTAATACCAGCCAGCATTTTTTCCTTCAAATGAACTGATAGAATTTAAAGTTTGTGACTTTATGGGAAAGTTCACACTCTTGATGAGGAGGGTTTACAAGCCATTTAATTCCTTAAATATACTTATTATAGACAAAAACTGATCTGTACCATTAGGCCTGGAAATCAGAGAACAAAATTCTTATTCCCATTAGGGCTGCTAACAAGAATAGTTCATTTGATGGTTTAGGATTGTTAGGTTTTAAAATGAGAGAAAAGCACAATGTGTGCCTGCTGCCTTACAAAGCTTTCAACTGGTGTCAAACTCAAGACGTGTATTTGTCCCAACCAATAGGGGAAGGTATGCCAATGTAAGGTAAATATGTAATATATAGACCAGTGATTCAATAGTCAGTATCCACAATTTGTTATTCTCTAGCCTAAAGGAAATGCACAGTCACCTTGATTAAAAGCAAAACTTTTTAGGGAAATCACATCCTGTATTGTTTTAAGGAAACTAATTGGCTCCAATAACTGGTGTTTATGTAAAGTAAAAAGAGAAGTCAGGGGTAGGGTGTCTTTGACACAGAGGTCTGCTGCCGGAGGGGAGGAGAACAGAGGGTGAGGCGGCTGACTGCTAATGTGATTACAAAGAACTTCAGCATCATTGAATAGTATTGATTAAGCCTCCAATTTCACAAGATATTTTGCATGATATTAGACAAATAGTGATATGTTCCCAGTGAGCCTACTAAGTTTATGCAGTGTATTTTCAGGAAGAAATGAAAACGATACAAAGTTGTGACTTGGGAAATACAAATACATTCGAAATTATAATCTTTCAAAAAGTCCCTGAAGTTTTTTTTCTTGGTGGAGTACATGATTGCCTTTGAAAAATAAGATCATTTGAGTAAACTATTAAAGGTTTTGGTCACAAAGTTACCCAAAGTATAGGGATTTGGGAGAGTAGTGGAAATCTCGTATCTTAATATCAGCATCTTCCGCAGTGGAAATCAAGCATAGAGAAACTCTTAAGACATAAGGTATTGCCAATTTTACAGGCCCATGTGTGTCCATACTTAGAGAATGAAGTATGTGCCAATAATTGTTCCTTTATTCCCTAATTTGTGCTTCATATTCAGATATTTTTATCAATAGTTCTGTTTTGCCCTTGTGTCTGTCACTATCATTAATAGCATCATTAGTACTACCTTCACTTTTATATTGATGTTTTAGTGTTACACGAATATGTTAGAGAGATTGGCAGGCAAATTGTTCCCTCTGCAGATGCTAGCTGGATGAACCTCTAGCTTGAAATACAGTCATCTCCAAAGGCTTGTTAAAAGAATTAAAGACTAGTGAACAATACAAAAGTACATGAATATTTTTACTCAGAAGGTCAATCAGGCCTTGTATATGGTGTGGTCCAAATTTACACAACAGTTCCTACTACTATTGATGACCTCAACAGCTTGGCATGGAGGAAGTTTTAGATAAAAGGGCTTCATATTTTCTGCATGAACTATGTATAATAATTAGGAATCTCCATGAAATTATCCATTTTCTAACCAAAAACCAAATTATTGCAATTATGAAAAACTGTTAATTTATTTACCAGTTTGTGCTCACTAAAGGGAGTTTGGTTAGGCAAAATAAATTTGAGCACTGTCTAATTTATTAATTTGTGAATCTCAGTGCAAAACATATCATTAATTTCTTCCCATTGGCTTTATCATTATTTACCAAAGAAACAATTCTATCCCAGGTTTATAATATTCTGTAATATTGATAATGATCAAAGTACCCACTGAAAGAACAAAATAAAATTCAGGCTTCAGTGCATTTTTAAATCTCTGCTCATTAAGTACAAGCATAGCTTTAAAAATCTAACTACAGTGGTTGGCTGTGTTTTAAATACCTTTGGGTAGAACCAAATAAAATAATTAAGGTAGCGATACCCATATGTGTCCCATGAAAATCATTTGACTTATTTTTGCAACACTAAATTGATTAAAAGATCATTTACTTCTTGCCTAATAGCTGCTGAAAATATACTTACATCACTCTTTTGTTTAGGACTGTCCGTTTTATTTTCATTTTTTCTTTTGTAATGTTGCTGATTTAATTTCTACCTTTCCAGGGCAATTTTTTCATAGTCTAATCACTTGGAGATGTGCTAAGAATTTTCCAAAGCTAAAATTCTAGTTTTGTGTCACATCTTTAATAGTGTGATTTTATTTGCTTTAAGTGCTATAGAAATACAGTTCTGTAGGTACCAAATGAGACTCATTACTTGCTGTGATGTTTTTACTTCATGATTAGCATTATAAACCCACACTCCTATCTACCCTAACCTCATTGCTAAAACTGCAATTAAATTTCCTCCCCAGAAGTCTTCTTTGCATTGTGAATGGGTGTGTATGTATGTATGTGTGTGTGTACATGTATTGCATAAAGGCAAATGGTAATTTATACTCCCAACCAAGAATAATAATCAGCAAATTCATAAATTGCAGGGGAGTTATGGAGAGGATAAATGTTATAATTCCTTTTCCAAGCCAATTATTTTAAGTAAAAGGTTATACCTTCACTATAGGACATTAATAAATGGGAAAAAAATCATTTCCACACCAGGGAAGCTACATCATTCAATACTTCAAATGTTAACAACTTTAATCAAAGCCAAAGGCTTTAACTAAGTAATTGGATATGAGTATTCAAGTGTAGAGCAAACTTTTTAAATTATCTATGGACTTAAGCATTTCATCTATACCCATATATAGTACAGCTGGCTTGTCACAAGCCTTCGGGACAGTAGACAAAACCTCTGAGCTTCAAACGTTATCAGTTCTGTATCAAGTAAAGCCCCTGGACTCTACCACTCCTGCTCCTTCATGGCATCTAAATGGCAAGCTTTTCCAGGAACTCTCTAGAAGCTTCCCTCATTTGGCCCAAGTTCTCGATGAAGCGTCCTTCTCCCTCCCTCATATTAGATAAACAATCCTCTCCCAAATAAATACCCACTCTCCAGTGAT